ATCATAGGATCTCAGGTCTTGGGTCTCTCAGCCCTTGGGAACCCTGAGAACCGGGTTCTCCCTATAAACCCAATGACATACCAAAATGACGTTTTATGACAATTTGTCTATGTCATAGTTTACATAAGAACATGTAGTGATTTGCCCAAACTGATAATTCTTCTTTTAAAAAGCTAACAGAGCAAGATCATTTGATAATGATGGCCTTTATGAAGACTACCGTAGATCAGGAAATTTTTGTGTTAAAAATAATTGGTGTGAAATTTTTTCAAGGTATTTTATTTTCGTTGGTTGACCCATCCACAAAATTTTTCAACATGAAAAATTTTGGATGCGTTATAAACGGGACACGTGGCTACTAACTCTTGACAATGGTGGACTGCTATTCGATGGAAGTTGCTCGTGACAGCACTGAAACTGACAAGGAGCCTCTTGGGTGAGAGCTTCAGGTCTTCACTGGGCTTTTAGAAGAGCCTCGTGCCAGCCGTGCATGCACTACTGCACGTTAGAATAGATTAATTTCAGTAATCTAATTATTCACTGTAGAAAATATTTTGTGTGTCAAAATTTCGTGGGTCACTTCAACCACAAAAATATTTTAATAACAAAAATTTCCCGATCTACGGTAGTTGACTCCAGCAGCTATTGTACTGCTTATCAGAACAAACAAAATCCATTTAAGAGTCAAATACAGGCCAATCATGCAGCTGTAAAATATCAGCCATGCTTCTATGAATATCAATATAAGACATCATTAGCGAATCGTGATGTATGGCTACATATTTCAAATTGCAAGCAGCTGCTGTCAAACTCAGTTGGGATATAGTATAATTACCAGATACATGTATATGGTATATGCTTACATTAGCTTGTGCTTTGAAGTTGACTAGCTGGCATAATGGACCAAGGACTATGAAAAGAGAGAGAGTGAGAAAGAATGAGAATGAGAGTGATGAAGGGAGAGAGAGGGAGGGACAATAATTATTAATTCCAATACATTAATAAAACGTACAATTGATTTTTGTTTCCTGTCACATGATAAAAGATAGACCACACCCATTCCATCCTAGCAGCTGTAATGACTTACTGGTACAAAAACCAGCATCACCTGGAACAACACACAAACAAACATCATTAATAAAATAATATAATATTATCATTTTACCTATTATACTGTATTAAAATAATAATATACGCACATTAACTGACTGACTGTGTTTATTATTAGGAGAAGAGACTGGAGAGGTGGAGTGGACCGTTGGTAGTGTATTCCTCACTAAACCATCAGCAGGTCAATGTCAGGAAGTGATCAGTCAATTAACGGACAGTCATCGGAAAATTTACCTCTATCACTCATCACCTGATATTGTATACCTATTGATGTCACTAGCACTAGAGATAAGAACAATAAAGGGGATTTATATAAGAAACACTAAAATAACAAAAGATGTCATCCTCTTACTGTCACACAAAATAACAAACAATACTTCATTAAAGGAACTAGTGATCAGTCATGACTCCATCAATGATGATGGAGTCCTTGCACTAACACAATCATTAATTAATAATAAAACAATTACTAACTTAGATCTTCGTGACAATCCTGACATCACTTCAACCAGTGCTCAGTCACTAGCTGAACTCTTACTCTACAACCACACACTATCTGACCTTTGGCTCCACCATACTAACATTGATACTGATGGAGTACTGGTACTGATGGAATCTCTCAGGACCAATAATACACTAAGGATACTAGTTCTAGACAATAAACATGAACAAACTTGTTATTCCTTACCTTATTATAAAACTATTGGAAACAGATTATACTTTAGGTAATTATTTCATATATATAATAGGTTATTAATATATAATTTAAA